ATTGCTTTTTGGCTTGTTGTTATTGTAGTAAGTGAAGTAAATGCCAAATAAATATATCTATCAAAACTCTATTGAAAATCCCTTTATTCACATGACCTTTTGAGCTACGTCATTACAATGACCCGTTTAATTACAACGTACGCAAAATTACACCACATTACTGGATCAAATTTCAATAGATTTCAGAACTGCCACCCTAACTGACGATATGTAAACATAATTACTGTTACAAAACATCAGCGTAAAGAGCGAATGCAAACATTTTCATTTTAATTAAGGTGTGCTATTTTCACATAGCCCAATTAACTTCTTAGCTGTACACTAAGCTTAGGAATATGAACAGTTCAAGAATTCATATCCTAGCCAAAGGAGAGACATTGAAAAATAATCAAAAAGAAAAAAATTAGAAATGATGTAATGAATGTTTACAAACTAATTAGAATGGTGATGGTGGGAGCCTTTGGATACGAGAAGCTAAGTTTTCAATTAAAAAAAAAAAAAAACTCAAAAATTCATCTAACCAAAGATGAGATATTAAAATGACAATCAAAAAATTACGAATTAAAAACTAAACTTCTAATGATGTAATAAATGTTTACACAGCACACAGTATACAGTTGGCAGTTTAGTATGCCAATGGTCGATTAGCAAAACATCATTCAAAATAGATGGTGCCTTGGAAGTGGTATGTTTTTCGTGCTCCACACCCTCACACCTATGTTGGAATCAAAAAATATCGCCAACGTGAAAAGAAACCCGAAAACAAGAACAAGTCCAGTATACAATTACTTGGTTCTGACGAGTAAAATGTGTATTCAGTTCTTAGGTAGGCTTTTTGAAGGATTAAACAGACCCCAAGTTTCGTCGACAAGGCAGGTCCAGGCGCATGAACATAAAGTTTATTTGTCTTAATATGTCTCAGAATCTACTATAGTCCAAGAATTTATATTAAAGAGTAATGAAATAACTGACTTGCTGAATCAACGCCCAGTTGTAACGGCTGAAACTAGAATCTTGAATAAATTTGCCATGAGAGTCAATCTTGATGTGTAGGCGTTTGATAAGCACTAAAATGTAATAAAAATTGTATACTATGTGTTGGTCAAACGGAACGATTTAAAATCCTGAAATTTGGAATGGGTGTCACTGGTGGAGTGCAGTTTAGATGTACCAAAGGGTTTTTATACCCTCCACCATACTATGGAGGGTATATTAACTTTGTCATTCCGTTTGTAACTCCTCGAAATACTCATGTCAGACCCAACAAAGTATATATATTCTTCATCAGCGTAAAATTCTAAGACTATTTAGCCATGTCCGCCTGTCTGTCCGTCTGTCTGTTGTAATCATGCTATCTTTCGAAGGAATTGAGATAGAAGGCTAAAATTTTGCACAAATGTTTATTTTTCCAGTAGGCAGGTTAAGTTCGTAAAAAGGCCATGTAGGTCCACGTTTTCATATAGCCTACATATAACGGTACCTCCCGATATTCGGTATTTCGATGATTTTAGCGACAATATTCAACGGAATTGTTTCAACTTTGGTATTTGAAGTTCGAAATGACTACTACAACCTATGACAGAAAATTATCTGGGTAGGTCCACGTCTTCGTATAGCCCCCATATAACGGTACCTCCCGATATTCGGTATTTTGATGATTTTAGCGACATTATTTAGCGGAATTATTTCAACTTTGGTAATTGAAGTTCGAAATGGATACTACAGCCTATGACAGAAAATTATTTGGGCAGGTCCACGTCTTCGTATAGCCCCCATATAACGGTACCTCCCGAAATTCGGTATTTGATAATTTTAGCGCCATTATTCACCGGAATTGTTTCAAATTACGTATTTTGAGTTCGTAATGGGAACTACAGTCTATGACAGAAAAATGTCTATGCAGGTCCAGGTCTTCGTATAGGCCCCATGTATCAGTACCTCCCTATATTCGGTATTTTGACGAGTTTAGATACAATACACGCCGAAATTGTTTGAGATATCGTATTTGACGTTAGTAATGGATGCTATAGCCTGTGACAGAAAATTGTCTATGCTGGTCCAGGTCTTCGCACAGCTCCGATATAATGGTACCTCCCTATATACGATATTTTGATGATTTTAGCTAAATTATCCACCGTTTATTTCAAGTTTCGAATTTGAATATGGTAATGGCTAATGGTAAACAATGCCTATGTAGCTCCAAGTCGTATAGATCCCAATATAACGCCCATATTTGGTATTTTTAAAATTTAACAGAATTTTTTAAGGATTTTATTTTTTGAAAATTTCCATATTCGTTCCAAGTGCTGGAGGGTATTCAAAGTTCGGCCCGGCCGAACTTACTGCTTTTTTAATTGTTTTTTCTTTTTTTTTTTGAAATTCGAACATTAAGGTTAGTAGAAGTTCTAAAATTGGACTAAATTTCTAAAATGGTACCGTTTGGTATTATTTGAAGGGATAGAGTTAAACCCTGAATCAAGTTTGAAAAGTAAGTTTGATGTATGAAGGTGATTTTGGAAATGTGTATTAGGTGCGCCAACTGTACTAAATGGTAAAAAAATTTGAAGTATGTTAATTTAGTATTAATGAATGAAGCAGGAATTTTAAAATTTTGTATTGGGTCACTGTTGGAAGTAGGTTTATGATAAGAGGGGGCTCATGAAAGGCTTTAACGATATGGTTGAAAATTGCTGAAGTCATAGCTTAGAGCGAGGAGACAGATATAGGAATAAGTTTTATTCAATAAGCGTACAGAAAATGCTCTGCTTACTTAAATATACTTTGTCTTGTGATTATTCATACTTTTGGCCCTTTTATGGGGGAGGTTCCGATGCAGAGGACTAGTATTATCCATTTCGTATCGAGCCACATTTGCACTATATCGACTTTTTTTCACTTTATGTGGGATATGTGATCATTTTTGGAAAATGCTAAAATCTACCCCACGGGAAGTGCAAATCAGAGAAATATTTAAATATTCAAAGTTTGAAAAGAATTGTTAACTTGTTTTGCAGTTTTGAGATATTAGCACTGCAATTCTGACCCTTTGTGGGAAAGGTGCAGAGGGTGTAGCTCGATGTATACTACCTTCATACCAGATCTTGTGTTAAAAGAAATATTTTTAAAATTTGAAAAGAATCAAATGCTTATTTCACGCATTAAAAGTTTCATGGTTATTCCAATTTTTAACCCGTTGTGGGGGTTGGGAGGTTCAAAAGAATTGGACCGATATATGACATCCTCATACCAGATCTTACTTTATCACAAATGTTGGGATGTGTTAAATTTGAAGCATATTTCGCATTTTATGAGAAATATAATTATTCAAAATATAATTATTCAAAAGTGGCCTGACATACTTCACCTACCCACCAGATCTTGTGTTAGTAGAAATTTTGAGGTGTGTGAAATTTGAAGAAAATCGGATGCTAATTTCGCGTTTTATGAGCTTTATGGTAATTCGAAATGTTGACCCCTTTGAAGGAGAGGTACCATAAGCAGTGAAACGATATACACCATCTTCAACTCTTTGATCTTGTGTTAGTAGAAATATTGAGATGTGTGAAATTTGAAGAGAATCGGATGCTTATTTCGAATTTTATGAGAGTTATAATTTTTCGAAATTTTGACCCGTTGTGGGGGAGGTACCAGAAGCAAGGGTCCTACATATTCCATTTTTACAAATATTGAGATGTGCTGAGTTTTAAAATTATCTAATGCTGAGTTTTATGAGTTTCGTTTCTATTCAAAATCTATCTATTGACCTGTTGTGGGGGATGTACCAGAAGGATATGTCTCTATCTTTACACCAGATAGTGTGTTACTAGATGTATGATGTATAGCCTCAATAGGTGGCTGAGGGTTTTTTATGAGCGTTTTTGTTATTCAAAATTTCAACAACTTTTGTGGGAGAGGTACAAGAAAAAGTGGACCCATATCGTCAGACCAGATCGATAGAGGGACATACACGGGGATGCGTAACGAGTGAGAATTTAACGCTGTTTGATGTTAAATAATTTCAGGCAATCATTTACATAAAGGGTTGCCCATATTCGACGGACCCATGCTTTTTTTTTTTTTTTTTTTTGATTACTCTTTATGCCCATTCCAATCGACGAGGCTTGTCCGCAGGCAACATTCTTTGCTTCAATTGAATTTTGTACGGGAACAAATGCAAATCAATGCGAATAATCCGTTGTAAAGTGGACCGAGCCATGCCCAACTGCTGAGAACGGCGTTTTTGGGATGTTCTTGGGGACCTCTCAACACTGGCTCGTACGGCAGCGATATTCTCGGCCGATCGCCTTGGTCGACTTTTATATGGCCTCTTCGGATTAGAAAGAGCCTTACCAGTCGAAAATGTTTCGTATAAACGCTTAATGGTGTTCTTAGAAGGCGCACTTCTCACATTTTTTAATGTTTTAAAAGCACGTTGAGTTTTCACAATTGACTTCTTCTGTTGAATGTAAATTGCAACTATTTCAGAGCGCTCACGTGGCGTGTATTGGTTCAAGGTAAAAATCTGCTTGGACTGACGCTTCAAACGCGGTATGTCATTAAGCGATGTGATATCTCTGTCAAAAGTTATGGTGTTGCCAGATGGGTCCGTCGAATATGGGCAATCCTGCACCTTAATTATTGTTGGGATAATAAGTATTAAATATTGTATATTATTTGTACGAGTAAATAACTAGTATATATCTCCATAAAAGTTGCAATTTGGCATTTTTTCTCAATATTTTTCATCTGTTTTCTTGTAGGATTTTAACTTATTCCAATATTTCTATTTTGTACTGGAAAAATTGTCGTATTCACCTATTATTTAAATGTTGCCTTAAAGCCATTGTTTATAAACATTTGTTTCCTCAACAACAGAGACCGTCGACTACGGCTGTGTTTTTTAAATGTTTAGATACAAAATGAATAGAATGTTGAAATGGATGCTGACAACGACAGGAAACCAGTGGTTGAAATCAGTTGTGCTTCGGGCATCTTAGAAAACGGTCGGTTAGCGGGAAACCCTGAAAAGGATATATTCAGTTTTTTCAGATGATACACAACTATAGAGTGTCTAATGTCGGGAACAAATGTACGTAATTAATAAAGTTTAAAAATACCAGAATTAAAATAATTAAAAAAATAAATTTGTGAAAGGGGTGTAATATTGCGCAGAGGAATGTTATACTTGGTCTAATTACCGAAACTTGTAAAAAAGTTGATTTAATATGTCTTTGGACAATCCTCAAGTGCTGTGGATATTCTAATAAATTCTATTGCATTGTGGATAGCAATAGAAGGTACGTAATTTTAAGAGAGGATTTCTGAATGATATATGTGTGAGAGTTATTTGAAGCGGTTTATATTAGGAGTAACCAAATTACTAGTATAAATAAACAAAGAAACCTTCAAATAGCTACGTGGTGATAAATTTAACACCATCAATGTCAATTTGTTTCCTGATTAAAAAAGGTTTCATAAATAAATCAATTGAATAATTAAAACAAGTGAGCAAAGGCTATAGTCGGGCGGGGCCGACCATGTGATATCCTACAACACTAAAATATGTTGAAGCAACCGTATGTTTACCATTTTGGAAGATTTCGCTTTTGAAATTATGTCATAGAGCACTGCCCAGATATTACCCTTAGCTTCTTGACCAGAAACATTTGCTGCTAGCTGTTGTCGCCCATTTTACAGTTAAATATATTCCAGTGGTCATCCAAAATGCTAGACCTCTTCCCTGGTATGGATGGTATTTTTTCCACACAAAAGTAGTGGTTCATTCTACCCGCTGTTCTAAACTCCAACTTCATGTGAGATTTCGTGTCCTTTGGTTTCTATTTGTGACCCTTGTAACGCCTGCATTGCGGACATCTTTAAAAACAATAGCCCTAGGCCTTCTGAGCCTAAGGCTCCCCTCTGAAAAATTTCTTGAGGACCGGACGATAATTACAATCTGCATATAATTACCTCAACTTGTGTTGTAAAGTAAAACAAGTAAAAAAGCTGTAAGTTCGGCCGACCCGAACTTTTAATACCCTCCACCATTTGGTACAAATTTGGCAATTTCCAAAAAATAAAATCCGTTAAAAAATTCTGTTAAAATCTTAAAAATACCGATTGCTTATGCGACGACGTGGGCCTGCATAGCCAACTTTTGTCATAAGTTATTACAATCTGTTAATAATGTAGCTAAAATCATCAAAATACCGAATATGAGGGGTACCGTTATATGGGGGCTATACGAAGACGTGGACCTGCACAGACAATTTTCTGGCATGGGCTGAAGTATCCATTACGAACTTCACATGCGAAATTTGAAACAATCCCGGTAAATAATGTCGCTAAAATCATCAAAATACCGAATATCGGGGGGTACGGTATATGGGGGCTATATGAAGACGTGGACCTATATGGCTCAGTTTTCGACATAGAATGTAGTATCCATTACGAACTTCAAATACCAAATTTGGAACGATTCCGCTATATAATGTCGCTAAAATCATCAAAATACCGAATATCGGGAGGTACCGTTATATGGGGGCTATATGATAACTTGGACCTACATGGCCCATTTACGAACTTAACCTGCCTACTGGGAAAATATACATGTGTGCAAAATTTTAGCCTTCTATCTCAATTTGTTCGAAAGATAGCGTGATTACAACAGACAGACGGACAGACAGACAGACAGACACACAGACAGACAGACGGACATGGCTAAATCGTCTTAGAATTTTACGCTGATCAAGAATATATATACTTAGTTGGGTCTGACATGAGTATTTCGAGGAGTTACAAACGGAATGACAAAATTAATATACCCTCCATAGTACGGTGGAGGGTATAAAAATATTACAAAATGTGTACTTCAATATTATAAGTCAAATTGAAAGAATCGCATGTGATAGAAAATATCTTATATAAAAAATATATATCTATCTTAACATCATTATTGGCATCTTTTAATGCGATTTTTTTAGAATTTATTCTGATGCACCAAGAGGGCATTCTGAATTGACTAAATTTGTCAAAATCTGTGCAGCCATTCTTGAGATATAGCATTCTATCTGGCATCCCCTTCCCTTGCATATATTTCGCAATATATATCCGAAATGTTTACTATCAGCATCTATGTTACCGTCAGAATTGACCTTTTCGTCTATTTGTGATTTCGCTGTGATTAAATATTATCCGATGACCATCAAAATTGGAAGGCTCTAGCCCCAGGCTAACTTCCTCGTCGATTGGTCTATAATTGCGACCTGTAGAGCAGTTGCAATATCAGGAAATTTTTCAGTTTTTGGTCCATTTCAACCTCTAAATATTATGAGATCATCGCCAAAAACAATAGGGTTCTTTTTTTTCCCTATCCCCATTTCCATTTTCAATTTCGTGGAGATCGGGCCACAATTGCGACCTGCAGAGTGTGTTCTCAAATTAACATGGACAGACGGACGGACGGACATACATAGCTAGATCGACTCAGCTCGGCGTGATAGGAAGATTCATATATACTTTCCTATGTGGGAAACCAATATTTCCAGGTGTTACATAATTTTTGGCCCAATCAAACTTATAATACCCCCAACACATAGTATCTATATCTATAAAAGAGGAAAATGTTTGTACGTTTGTTTGTTTGTTTGTTTGTAATTTATGGACTCGAAAACTGCTGAATAGATTTTTCTGAAAACTTCCATATATACTGCAACATCGCCTTCAAAAATGTATATAGCCTATGTTACTTGGCTATATACATTTTTGAATTTCCACTTGGAACTGGAGATATAGAATCAGAATCGGAGGTACCTCCCAAAAATTTAGATTTTATATGCACATATCTATTGATCGGTTAAAGATACAGTCTCCAAATTTGGAATGTGTAACGGAATTTGGAACAAAAATAAGTTTGCTAAATTATATTGTAATCGGTTCAGATTTGGATATAGCTCCCATATATATTTTCGACCGATTTCGTTCATTTGAAGCCTCAAACACAATATGAATGTTCGATTCCAATGAAATTTGGAATATGTGACGGGATTTGATCCGAAAATAAATTTGTCAAATTATATTGAAATCGGTTCAGATTTGGATATAGCTCCCATATATATTTTCGGCCGATTTCAAGCATTTGATGCACCAAACACGCTATGTATCCCCAATTTCAATGAAATTTGAAACGTGTGATAGATTTTATCTAAAAAAATTTATTTCCCAAATTATATTGAAATCGGTTCAGATGTGGATATAGCTCCCATATATATTTTCGGCCGATTTCATGTATTTGGTGGACCAAATAAGATATGTATGTCCAAATTTAATGAAATTTAAAATGAGTAACGAAATCGGGAGCAAAAATGAATTTTTCAAATTATATTGAAATCGGTTCAGATTTGGATATAGCTCCCATATATATTTTCGACCGATTTCATGTATTTGATGCACCAAACACGCTATGTATCTCTAATTTCAATGAAAATTGGAATCTGTAGGGGAAATTAAAACGAATATACATTTGTCAAATTATAGTAAAATCGGTTCAGATTTGGATAGCTCTCATATATATTTTCGACCGATTTCATGTATTTTATGCACCATGCACGATATGTATGTTCGATTCCAAAGAAATTTGGAATATGTAACGGGATTTTGATTAGAAAATAAATTAGTCAAATTATATTAAAATCGGTTCAGATTTGGATATAGCTCCCATATATATTTTCCGCCGATTTCACATATTTGATGCACAAAACACGATACGTATTTCCGATTCCAATGAAATTCGGCATGAGTGGCTAAATTTGGTACAAAAATAAATTTGACAAATTATATTCAAATACGCTCAGATTTAATTATAGCTCCCATATATATACTCAGCCGATTTCACATATTTGATGCACCCAAAGCGAGAAAGACGAAATCTGGCACCAGAAAAAATTGCCAAATTTTATTGAAATCAGTTGAGGTTTGGGTATAGCTAACATATGTGTGGTTACAATAATAAATGTGACAAATTAATTGGAAATTAGTTAAGATTTGGATACAGCTCCCATATATATATATATTCTCGGCCGATTTCACGTATTTGACGCACCAATTTCAATGAAATATGAAAGGTGTGGCGGAATTTGGTGTAAAAGTAATTTTTTTAAAATTATATTTAAATCGGATCAGATTGGGATATGATTTTAATAAGAACCATTGACCCACAACGCCTTAGGCTAACACTAAAAAACAACACAACAATTTATTTGAAATACGCTTATTACGGCGAAGTATGTTGCTATCTCGAATTCATTAATTGCAACAGAAATGCCACTCAACTTCAAAAGATTGCAGTTTACTGCACGCTTGGTATTTGCTATGAAATAAATAAATCCGAAGGACAAACCCTTCGTGTATATATGTCATGTTACTGTTTTTCTAATGGTTTTGTATATTTACGCATTAAAGTAGTGCAATAATTTTTTTTTTTAATTATAAAATTTGTTTTTTTTTAACCAACATATATTCGTAAATAAAATTTTGAATGCATATAAAATCAAAAGGGGTAGCGAAGCGCACCGGGTTCAGCTAGTTGTAGGGTATAAATATTTGATGTTTGTGGCCACTTGCTTGTGGACAATGTGATATAGTAACAACTAATTAAAATTTTTGAAGTTTTCGGATTAAGATTTCTTGGAATCTGTTGATATAAGCTACACAGTGTCTTTCGCAATATTGCAGATTCAAATACGAGGTATAGTTTAGTTGAAAATATTAACCCCTCAAATTAAATGTTACCTTAACGCCATCAATTCATACATATTATAAATAGATTTAAAGCTTCATTTAATGTCAGTTTTTGCAAAAATCTTCTACAAACCATCTGCAAGGATGACATCAAAGGCCAAAATCTTCCTCAATTTCCTCATCAATTTTCCCAAAATAAAATATAAAAAAATGATTCCTAATTGCTTTATTGCTGGTAATTTAACAGGGTTCCAATCCAAATCAAATCTCCCTTAAAGTTTAATATTTTTTTTGTGGGGAAAGTGTCAAAGAAAAAAATATTCTAGATCAATTGTTTTAATAAAGAAATTGTTAATTTTTCAAAAATTTAGTGCTATATGTGCAATTAGATTTTTAAAATAATTTTATATATTTGTAATTTTATTCATAATTTATGAATTTCAAATAAAAATTCGGATCTGATGCGACACGTTTTATGCTGATATGTATTTAGAAAAAGGAAATATTTTTCATAACCAAGTTATATTTTGTTTTAATTTGTAATGAAAAATCACTAACG